TCAGGAATGTAAACTCTCTCAAGAACACCATGACTGCATAAATTTGAATGACCAAGAATAAAAATACGAACTACAAATATATCACATTGCAAATTTTACCAGAAAAGTCCTAATGGCATCTTCCAACAAGCCACAGAATTAAGAAAAAGAAAACAGCACAAGACATATTTTTCTTCTACATGAAATCATATTAAATATGGTATGCATGTATCTAACACAGTTATACTTGCCAAATATGTTATGTTCAAAGACCCTTTCAAGTTTTATTGTGCTATTCTTCTAATACAAGACTTCTAGTCAACACATTTGAGCCCTACATGCCCCCTCACTGCTGAGGTCAGTTCATGTAATAATCACCTATTACATGCCTTTGGGAGAAATAAAGACACTGTTTTGATCCTCAAGGGGCTCAAAGTTGAAATGTTTTAACATGAAAGTAGGCTTGAGAGCAGGGCACAGTGTTGCTCACCTGTAATCCCAGAAGTTAAGGAGAGGCTGAGGCAGGAGAATTGCAAATTCAAAGGCAGCCTCAGCAATGGTAAGGCACTAAGTAACTCTGTGAGACTCTGTCTCTAAATAAAATACAAAATAGGGCTGGGGATGTGGCTCAGTGGTCAAGTGCCCCTGAGTTCAATCCCAAGTAGCAGTCAATCAATTAATCAATCAATAAAAATTTAGGCCTGAGAGACAGGAGGAAAAGTGCAGGTGGCAGCTGTCTGAGGAGAATGTGTTCATGCCACCTTGTATAACACAATGGGCAAGAAAACAAGCCAATGTAGTGGAGAAAAAAATAACAAAAAAGAATCACAAGTTCCAGTTGTTATACAAGTGGTCTCATTCCAGTTGCAAGCCACATTCATTTTAAGAAACTTACCGTTTCTCAGTCTCTGGCCCATAACAGGTGCCTAATAAATATGTGTTAAATAAATTGAAGCGACAAAGAAGGAGGAAATCTATCCATAAACCTTATGAGATCTCTAGGTATGATGAGACATCTGGGGCCAAGGCAATGTTTCCTGCCAAAACAAGCACAGAACTACAATTCTAGTCATTCTTCATATACACTGGCTGTTGGAACAAAATGATTATGCAACCATTATCCATGGTGACACACCTAAGCCCTGCCCAGGACCCGCTGAATATGAGTCACAAGATGATCTTAACCTGAAGTTCTTATCCAAAGCAACATTTTTATATTTTGTGAAACCAATTAGCAAGTATGTTTTTCTTGGTGAAGAGCCATTCATTTGTAACCCTAATTCCATAATCAAAACTGACACTTGAGTGACAGATGGGGAGATAGTCTTCCCCATTCTTCCATCTCCTCTTCACAGTACTCCAGGTAGCTGGGGATCCCAAGGCAGTAATAAGGAGGACTGGTTTCAGAGTATGACAGATCTGGACTTAAATCCTAGTTCCAACATTACTCTGTGACCTTGGACACTATCCTCAGCCATAGCAAAGGAGCTTACTAATACCATCTACATCACATTAAATGAGATAATGCTGGAGAAGTCCCCAACACAGTACCTGATAAATTTCAAGTCACAACATATTTCAAGCCTTTCTGTAATGGGGAAAATTTAAGTTACCAAATTAAAGAAGGAAGTTGACTGTTAAAGCTGAAACTTTTGTCTCATAAAGAAATGGCCCCTCCTTAAAACCTGTTACACTAATATTCTTTCCAGGAAGTTCCTATTCTGAAATCTGAGTAATCATGTGCCAACCTCAGTTCACTTTCCTATCAGACAAGGTGGAAATTTTCCTCCAGTTCAAAACATATGCATAGGGCTCCACCTAATGAAGAAATGAACATATTTTAAAATTACAGGTCTAACACTAAAATAAATGAACTAATCAAGTATATCCAAGTCAGAAAATTTTCAGATTTTTTTTTTTTTTTGGCAACATAAGAAAGAAAACCAGGGATAAAATTTGGTTGACCTATTAAGAGAAATTTAAAAATCTATTCAATAAACATGTATAAAGATCTTTCTGTAACAAAACATGTGTTCATTTGTCATTTTGATCAAGATGTTTTAAGGAATTCAAAGAAGAACAAACCTAAAAAGGAGGTCTCTGCTCCTAAGTATAGAAGGTATACAAATACAAGGGAGAAGGTGATAAAAGTTATTAATAGATGGGGTAGGGGTTGTGGCTCAGTGGTAGAGCGCTGGCCTAGCATGTGTGAGGCCCTGGGTTCAATCCTCAGCACCACATAAAAATAAATAAAATAAAGGTATTGTGTCCAACTGCAACTAAAATATTTTTAAAAGAGTTATTAATAGAGGTATAAAAAAGTGCTATAGGGTGGGAGAGAAAATCCAACTAAGGAATTTTTTACTAAAAAGTGGTGATTGAGTCATTATTTAGAGATAGGATAGAATTTCAAGAGGCAGATATGGGGACAGGGGAGGAGGCATTTTACTCTGATGAAAGAGCACAAATAAGGCTTTTTCTCCTTATGGGAGAAAGCTAATATTACTAATAAAAAAAAGGGGAGAAGAAAGAGGTTATTGGTCTTGTGAAACCTAAGGCAAATTGATGAATAATGGCCAGGAAATTAAATGCTTTTAAATTCATAAGCTTCATTATGACAGTTCTTATCCACTATATTCTCTCCTGAGTCATAATTACAACGTAGAACAATATGACTGGAATAACTCCCGGGAATCACCTTGTGATTGAAGCACTGGTTCAGCAAATGTATTATCTGCATTTCACAGGGAGTGGTTTAGCAACCTCTTCCTTATAACCAAAGGGAAAAATCTCCCTTGCTAAACCATTCCCAAGTTTTTCCGCTTTCACTTATGATCCTTAAGTCTTTTATCTGTCTCTGAAGAGTTATTTCATGGTTGTTTCTCAAGGAACAGATGATTTTATTGATTAACTTTTATACATCATTCTCTAAGCAGGATGGGAATCTTCTGAATTTGCAACTTAGCTTACTGCTTGAGATCATGCCCTGTGGAAATTAGTAAAGGGAACCCAGTCTTTCAAAGTTCATATTGTTCATGTTACATGCTGAACAAATGATTGTGGCATTATGAAGTTGATCAATTCCTTCTCTATCAGTGTAGACAGATGCCTTTTGGCAACAGAATCATAAGGACTAGGAACAACCTGTAGTGGATAACCACAATCACTAGGCTACATGGACAGCAACAATGAAAAACTAAAAAAGGAAGGCAAGCATGTTCAGGCTGACTCCTTAAAAGGAAGCTTACAAAATTGTGAAATATTGTATCCACTTTTACATAGGGCAAACACTGTATAAACTTGAGAACAATTGCCTTGCTTAAAAAAATAGTTGCCATCACTTAAGAATTTGAAAAGTTCATCTGGGTGGGTGGTCAACGCCTGTAATCCCAGCAGCTCCTGAGGCTAAGGCAGGAGGATTCCAAATTCAAAACTAGCCTCAGCAATTTAGCAAGGCCCTAAGAAACTCAGCGAGACCCTGTCCCTAAGAAAAATATAAAAAAGAGCTGGGGATGTGTCTCAGTGGTCAAGTGTCTCTGGGTTCAATCCCCAGTACCCCCTCCCCCAAAACTGGAAGAGTTCACTGAGAACTCTAAACTACTGGCTTTCTTAAAGAATCTGAAGATCTAGCAGCCCTGTGCTTGCATTTCTACTTAGCAGTTACTGGCTGCTGGCTATCCCCTTAGCCTCTAATCTGCTGGCCCTCTTCCTGACCCCTACAGGCATTTTTGTCAGATTTTTGAATATGGCTTTAAAACTCAACCCACACATCTTAATGGTCTTAAGTTGGGAAGATAATGATTGTGTATTTTATATATTAATCAAATCCAGTTAAGCAGATTTACTTAAGATTCAGGATTAGAACATTTATATAAATTTAAGACAAAATGAAACCTGGCTTGGGTGATCAAAAGATACACAATACAGAAAACATGGAACTATGCCTTGTCAGTGTGACAGCTCAAACCAGGGTATGTTATTAAATAAGATTCAAACTAAAAGTGGACTGAAAGTTTCTCAGTTTCAAAGCACAAATGCATTTTTTTTGTCAAGTGCCAGCTAAATAGAATAATATATGTGCGCACACACAATGCAAATATACACACATACATGCCAAATAAAACAGGAAAAATGATTCGAAGTACCATGAAGAGGGAGCTAAATAATCACTAAATACTTACATCAACTTGCCAGGCTAGTCAAATGTCCATTGAAAGCATGAACTCAATTGTACATTAAGAGTAACTTTCCTAATGGTAGCAGAGTTACTTAAATAGCACTCTTACATGGTAAAACTCTACTGTTATACATGGTAAATAAAGAAACAAAGAATTTCCCTGACACATTATGCTGGGAAGCACTGAGAGGACAACATTTGATTATAATGGGCAAAGTATCCAAACCAAAATTTTCGAATCTTTGAAGTTGAATAGATTCTTGAAAAAGCAGTGTAGTGTGACTGTTTCCTAATTTTTTCAGCCACCCCCTCAGTTTGCTACCCTCTGCAATTTCTGTGGGAGAGAATGACAACGCATCATCACGCTAATACTTCATTCTTTCTACTGCTGGAAAGGACGCTGGGTTGAGCTACCACAGCCGTGACACAGCTTTCCCTCCATCCAAGGACGTCCTGTGCCTCTCAGGCCAAATGCTCCTGGGGAAAACCGCTGCAGCGGTCAATTTGGCCACCTGTCCCCTGCTGCACGCGGGCCGCTCTGCGTAGGATGCTCAGATAATCCTCGCTCTATTTGGGCAAAGAGTCCCCCTATTAGTGCGTGACCCAGCTCCACGACCAAAGCTGCAACTGCTCAACTGTGCCTCCGGGGTCCTGGGAAGCTGAGTTCCTCAGGCCCGGGCGGGGCAGCCCCAGCGTGGCAAGCCCCTCTTCGGCCTTCCCCCCTTGCCCGGCCATCAGAATTCAGGGCCGCGAGAGGCGCGGGATGGGGACGCGATACCTAGCCCCAGCGTCCTCAGGCTCCCGCCCCGGCTCACCGCCTCCTCAGATATCACCCCAGGCTCACCAAAAAGCGTGTCGAGCTGGTACCCTGGTCCACTGCCCCCACCAACGGCCCCAAAACTGCTTTCTTCGCCGCTGCCATGAAACCAGCTTCAAGTCGTCCGGCTATCGCGGCCGGTTTCCCGGGTGACCGCGGTGGGCGGGGGAGGGGCGGGCGGAGAGACCGGAGACTAAGACCACGAGCGTCTGCTGAACACTCGGACCGCGCTGGAGGCAGCCCCTTTACCCGCGCGGAGCCTTCTCACCCCGCCCCTCCGGCCCAAACTCCGCCCCCCAGAGCGTTCCCCCACGGCCTCGGGGGCGTGGTGGAGGGGGGGCGCTGTCTGCCAGGCTGGCCAATTAGCGAACACGGAAAGAAAAAGAACGTTCGGACAGTCCGAGGGCGGTGAGACGTCATGGGGGCGGGGTCTGGGCGCGGCGGAGGCGGTGGCCCGCGCAGCAGGTCACAGGAGAGGAGGCCAGGGAGCCGGCTGCCTAGCCGGCCTGCTGCAGTGTCTGGGGCGGAGGCGAGTACTAACCGTTGGCTCGGAGCGCCTCTGCCCCGCAGAAAGAACACAAGTCCGCCCGAGCCCACAAATGGGTCCAAAAGTGCAGAACTGCTTGTTCCCTCCGGTGGGCTGTGCTGAGAACGACGTGAATCTCAGTGGGAATCTCCCCGGGGTCCGACCTTCCCGCGCTTCCCACGCCCCGCCCACCTCCCGCGCTTGGCCCCTGTTAATAATAGTTATAATCTTGCCTACTGGGACTGGCCCCAAGTGGGACCACTACAAGGAGCAATGCGAATCCCTAACCTTTGTAGATTTTTCAGAATCAAGAAATACCGTAATTCTTTCGGTTTAGTATTTAAGGGAAACATTTAAAAGCAACTTCCCCGAGTCCCTCGATTGACCAACCACACAGAAGACACCCGGCACCTCCCTGTCCTGACGCGCCCTTGCTCCAGGCTGGGCTTCTGTCTGGTGTCCCCTCCCCCCACACGCCATTTCCGCTCCCCTAGTTAACTGCTTTGGACAGTCAAGGGAAGAGAAAAGGGATTCTCACTTGACCTTGAATTTACCTTGCCAAGATCCTGTTGAGTCATGTGTTCTAGGGGCTTTCAAATTTTGGACCCAGACCCATAATGTGAAATAATTTCCAAACAACTTGGGGATTGTGGGTATGTGAGCGTGCATGCATTATATAAAATATAACAGTTACATATATAGATACATTTTATATATATTTGTATGTATTATGTTTCCTAAACAGTTTTTGTCTTTCCATGCTCTATACAGTCTATATTTTTTATATTATAGTGTGTCACTTTTAAGAAATATTAAAAATCACTAAATTGATTTAGTAAATCATATGCGCTTATCAGTTTTCAAAAGCTCTCTCATTTCTTTCCATCCCTTTCCCAAATCTCCCAGTATTTTTGGAACATCATTTCTATTTTTTCCTCCTCTTGCATTACTCTATACCACCTTACTTCTCCATTTATTTATTTAGTTACACCACAGTTGTTCTGGAAGCAAATTTTCCTATACTCCTTTTAGCCATTAGATTCTGGTGTTCCAAATGAAGCCTGCTTGTGGAGCTACTGGACTTGATAACTATTAATAAACTGACTTGCTTTGAGGTAGAAGGGCAGATGGGTAAGTATTTCTGAATTTTCTTGAAAGAGGAAAAAGAGACACGCATATAGGTAAATGTTGAGGAACTAGGTCAACTTGCCTCTAAAAATTGTGAAAGGCATTAATTGAATAAGTGATATATAAATAAAGATTTCCTTGGTTCTAGAAGTCAGTAAAAACAAAGCCGCCAAACCTATCACATTGATCCATTTATTTAAAAAAAAAAAAAAAGGCCCTGACCATGTTTGAACTTTCACACTTTTGGCTCAGATTCTACTAGGACAGCAAATGATTTGTTTAGCGGCACAGTGGGGATCAGAATTCAGTCATTTCAAAATAAGTTGCACTGTATGTACATGATAGATCCTTAAATTTATTGGTCCTCTGGTTCCTACAGCAGTGTGTACCCCACATCCTCAATCCTTTCACCAAAACAAAACTGAAAAGCCAAAATATTATTTGAATTTTCAGGAGTTACACACATCTAAGTGCCCTCTAAAAGACAAGGGGAAGACAAAAGGAAGTGTCCTAAGTGGAAGAATCAACCTCAGCCTGCCTAAACTCCACACTCTAAATATTTACTCTAAACTCCCATAAATCAATTTTCTCTTACCCTTTTAGAATTATTCTCTTGCTTGCCCTTTCTCACCCCTTCAAGCCCCAGCTGCAGTCCAAAATAGTTTTTTTTTTAATTTTTTAAAATAACTTTATTTATTTTTTTAATGTTAAAAATGTTAGGGTTAAACCCAGTGCTTCACATTCTATCACTAAGCCACAACCCCAGCCCCCCAAATTTTACATAAATGTAAAAATCAACCAATACCTATTCTGATTCCATTTTTCATACTGAGACAGAATTGGAAATAACAATGGCCTGAGGCCCAAACAGGATAAGTGATAGGCATGTTTGAGACCAGCCCTCCTCTGTGGCAGAACCAGGACTTGAATTTCAGTCTCCTGACATCAAACCTAGTGCAGCAAACCTTTTACAGCAGATGGAGGCAATGGAAGCTGAAGGAAAATGGACTAAAAGAGAAAAGATGGGATGCTGGTCCACCTTTATTTCCCTACCATGCACTGCAGATCTGAAGGCAAAGTAGCAGATGAAAGAATTCCCCACGCAAAGACACTTCGCCGGGAGAATTCCAATTTTATTGCAAAAAGCTGTGTGCTTATATAGAACTAAGGGGGAGATGGTAGGGCTTAGATAAATGGCAGGCAACCTGTTTATTGGCAAGTTCTTTCAGATATCAGCTCCGGAGCCCAGGAATTAGTTCTCATTGGGGCTAAGGTTCCCTGCCATCGAGATTTGAAATTGGCGCCGGCGGGAGAGTTCACACGGTGGGGAACTTTTCGCGCCACTGCAGAAAAGAAGAAGGTAGGAAGAAGAGGTGCTTAGGCGCCATGTTGGGGTTTTTTCTCTGGGGTATGGCTGCCGTTTATACTTTTCCCAACAGCAGAGGTGTAAACACTTAAGTGGAAATGTAAGGACTTGGTCTGATTTTGGCCCTGCCATTGAACTCTTACTCTTCTTGACCTTGAGTAACTCATTTCCTCTCAGGGCTTCCTTTTGCTCATGTGTAAAATAGGGAAAATGTCACTGATACTGACGTGGATGGGTTAATGTGACTTGACTGATGTAATGCCTGTGTCATGAAAGGCAAGATGCAGTATCCCTGTCATTTCTGTTTTCTACCAAAGAGATCTAGAGGTGAAGAACCAAAGTTCTTCACAGGCAAATGATTTAAGTAGCTTGAGTCATCTAAGGCTTGCTATGATAATTTCTGCCTAGTAGAGCAGGAAATCAAAGTTAAGCCCCTTTAGAGTGTCTCTAGGTGTTTCGCTTATTCCTCCTCTAGTTTTTCCTGTTCTTTATTAACTTACACAGAATTTATATAAGCAGAAAAAGCCTACATTTCCCTAGAGAATCTTTTTTTTTTAATTGTTTCTGGCATCGCTTCTTGATCTCATGTTCTCCTGAGCTGTAGCACTTACTTTTTCTAGTCTAGTCTATTTGGAAAACTAGCCTTTCCTTAATTCCTCCTGACTATTCTATTGACTTGAATATGAATTGGTATGGATAGGAAAACCATAACATGGAAAGTTAGTGCTAGAAATATTTACAATAAAAACCCAGGCACTTTATTATTTTATAGAACTGAAATGCTTTAAGCAGATATATGGAGTAATCTGCCTCTGCTAATTAGAGGGAGTTAAAAACAGATTAAGAATTTAAATAGGGGTGCTGGAGATATAGCTCAGTTGGTAGAATGCTTGCCTTGCATGCACAAGACCCTGGGCTCAATACCCAGCACCACAAAAAAAAAAAAAAAGAATTTAAATGTATTTGTTAAAAATAGCCAAATTGGGAGCCTCTCTCTTCCACTTGCAGATTGGAGAATCCACTCACATGCATGTTAATCATCTAAACGTGACTGCCTAAAATTGTGTGTCACTTTACACAATGTTGTACTCATAAAAACATAAGGATTGGGCAGGTTCTCACTACTTGTGTCAGAACCACCTAGAGGATTTGTTAAAACGGGGGTTGCTGGGCCACAACCCCACAATTTGTTTCATGGGTGAGGTCTGAGAATTTGCATTGCTAACAAATTCCCAGGTGGTGCTGATACTTCTGATACAGGGACCCCACATTGAGAACAATTAGGCTCTGGATAGAGTTTGACAAAACTGTAGTAAAACCCTGAGGTAAAAAGAGGTCTCTGTTTTATGAGTTGTTAATGTCCCTTTTTCCTAAACCTCCGGTCTCTGCTAAGAATCAAGTCATCTACTTAAGATATTGGTAGATGAGGGGCTGGAGTTGTGGCTCAGTGGTAGAGCACTTGCCTGGCATGTGTGAGGTGCTGGGTTTGATCCTTAACACTGCATATAAATAAATAAACAAACAAACAAATAAATGATCCATTGGCAAGTAATTTTTTTTTATTTTAAATTTTAAAAAATGGTAGATGAAGGCTTAAGGAAGAAGGTTCTCAAACATTAGTTTATGTCAGAATCATCTTGGGCACTTGTTAAGGAGGCTTATTTGTGCCACTCTCTTTTACCCCACCCCAATAAATGCAATGAGGTAAGCTGCTTGATACCAGCAATTTTGTCCTGATCATTATTATGATCCCAGGAACTATAAGTGATATCAAAAGAATGATAAGTGATTATCAAAAGAATGAATAAATATGGTAGACTGAAAAACCAAATGAGTGGCTCCTAATGACTCATGCTTTCTAGTAATAAAGCCCTTTTATTGTGCCATCCCACAATGACCTTCTGACTTGGACCATTGATATGCATAGACAGTGGGATAATAGGAAACATGATAGGAACCGCAAAAAGCACTTGTGCAGAAGTGAATGTTTCCCTCTTGGAACTCAGTGTAATCTGCAACCAAATAAGAGGCCATGTTGGGGAAAACAAAGACACCCCAGGTAACCAGCTCCAACTTTAGATATATGTATGAAACCATCTTGGATATTTTAGCTCCAGCCAAGCTCCCAGCCAATTGCAGCTGCCGAATGAGCAACCCAGCTACTGAACGACTTTAGATAGCACCTGCAACAAAACACTACACAGCTGAGACCAATGAACCCACAATCC